ATGAATTTTAAGCTTAACAACAGACGTATTACCTTAAATGCATCTTCATCAGTTGTGTCATCTCCAACGTAGATTGGGAGCACATCTAGATTGCAACTAAATCCTGCAGTGTTATGTTGTGTAAGCATCAGTAATGTCAAAGAACTTCATAAGATTTGTGTTTGCATATTCTAAGGTAATAACCTAGGGATTCAAGCAAAAATTCAACTGCTTTTCCTTTATCCCAGTCGATCACAGGACGAATCTCTAAAACCTATAGAGAGGAGAAAAACAAAGACATCACATAAGAACATTATATTCAATACAAACAAGAAGGCAACTAATCATAGTATGCTACATAAAGACAGGAGAGTAAATTACCTTTCGCCCGTGAGTTATTCGCAGTCGAGAGTAGTCTTTCAAAATATCATAAACAAACTGTGCAACTATAGGCCAGCTCTGGGAGTTACAATGCAAAAGAAAATAATTATACTATTAGCAAAAAACGATGATTTCATTTCAAGGTATTTGCTGATGTCGGATGGATTAGGATAATCAATACTTACATTTTCATCTACGTTACGATAATGTACAGAGACACAAAATTTATGGTTCTCTACTTTTGCGCCCTTTATATTTTTAGTAACCTCAACAAGGATTCTAAAAACCTGGAAAAGAAAAATAAATGGATAGTACAATTTAGTTTAATTGTTTATCAGATACTCCTTACAACAATGTTTCTAAATTGCACATAATCCTACAAACCTCATTGATCATTGGCAAAAACTCACTAGCCGGCTGGAACAGATTTACTTCCTTGCCCTATACATGCAAAATTTAGATCAATTGAAAAGAGTGATCTTACATGAGAACATACTAAAACAACAATCAAATCATAAAAAATATGAAGCAATTATTGGACCGTGTTGAGTCTAATTACATCGTTCTTTGCTCCGCTGACTAGTGATGAAGCTAGAATTTTGAGTTAAGGGGTGTTCAAAAATAGAAGGTCAAAAATGAGTTTTAAATAGTCCTTTCGGAGAATGTATGGTTAAAAAAAAATAAAATAATAATAATAATAATAATATTAATGTGCAAAATATTTTATTGTGTGAATGTGTAATTAAAAATAATCATGTAACAAAAAGAGTTTTAAAAAATGGGCACCAAACAGGGGCTTATTTTAATACAAGGGTCTATTGGGCATTAATAAATCATAATCTGTATAAGGTCATCTTTATGTCTTAAAAGAGAGAGGTATGAGAAAAACCTTAAAATCTCCCACTTTATAACAAAGAAAAATGGAAGTAA